TGGGGCTGCGTTGTTGTCACGTTTGCGGACGAACTATCAGTGTTCGGCATACTTCGGGGGTGCATCCGGCTTGTTGGCCGAAGATTCGTGATCGTGGAGATTTTGGAGTTTCGTTCCCATTGAAACAGCAAGTCCTTCCTTCACTTCAAGACATCTTCACCGCCCCTATATTCACGAAAGACCAGGTTCCCGCAGAACTTTGGCCAACCCTTCGGGAGGAATATGGCAAACTCCTTGCTGCAGTGAATTGTTGTTCTAGGCCCGACGCTTGGGATCCGTTACCATTGGCCGAGGGGGGGTTGGCTAGTGGTAGTGATTGTCTTGAGAAGCAGAGGGCTAGGCAGGCGTGGCTTGAACTCCTCATGTTTCCGAAAGCGGTGTTACGCCAAAATAGAAGGGGTCAACGTAGAGGGCAGGCTTTGATATTCACGAAATCCTTACTGATCAGATGGAGACTTGGGGAAAGACAAGGTCTTTGGGATGAAGCAATGATGGCCACCGCGCGCTCACGGCGGGAGCAAAGGGGGGGAACAATCTCTAAAGAAGCAGTGCATGCGGATGTTCGCCGCTTCGTATCGTTGGGACGGGCGGGGCGTGCTCTTCAACGGCTTGTCTCTCCTGGATTGGCGGCTGCCACTGCCCAGGTGAAATCGAAGTTGATGAATAAATTTCCCACTAATCCTTCGAGAACTTTGGTGTGCTCCGCGCTCCCGCCGACCCCGGAGATTGAACTTTCCGTTCTCTTGAAAGCTCTGCATTCATTTCCTGTAGGGGCAGGGCCGGGACCTGATGGTTTGCGCGCGGATTTCTTGAAGGGACTTGTCGGCCATTCTCTGGAGTCTCCTTTGCTTCCTCTTCTCCAGGCCTTTATTCAGGAGATGGCTGACGCTAATGTGCCGCTTGCTTTGCAGCCCTGGTTGGCGGGGGGAACTCTCATAGGCGTTGGTAAGATCGGAAAGGATGGAACTCCTATTGATTTGGCCCAGGATGCTAGACCTATTGTGATGGGACAAGTCTTCCGTAAATTGGTCTTCAAGTGCACCTTTCGTATGGATTCATCCCAGATTCGTGCCAGGTTGCTTCCCCATCAACTTGCTGTTGGCATTTCGGGTGGGGCCGAGATTCTGGTGCATTCGGCTCGGGAATGGATAGGACATAATAGGACCAATCCTGGAATGGTCCTTTTACAGAAGGATATTAAGAACGCGTTCAATGAAGTCCTCCCTGATATCTTTCTCGAGGAATGTCGAAAGCATGCTCCCTCATCTTCGCGATTTGTTGATTGGTGCTATGGGTCTCCTAGTCATTTGATTTATGACGATTGTATAGCTTTCAGTTGTAGAGATCAACAGGGTTGCCCTATGATGATGTCTCTCTTCTGTTTGGCAAGGAGACGCCTTGCTGAGGAGGCTCAACAGAACACAGGAATCCACTTGCCCTTTGCTCCGGAGTATGCGGATGATGGGTTCTCGGGGGGGCGTGTCGAGGATATTTGGAAATTGTTTCAGGAAGAACTCCGGCTCGCGGACAAATATGGTCTGAGATATGATCTTGGGCAATGTCGTCTTTATCTCTTGGCTGGGGATGGTTTCCGTGGGGATGTCAGTCCTTTCCAGGGTCTTGGAGTCCACGTTGATGCTACTTGTGATATCCAGATGTTGAAGACCCCGGTTTCTGGGAGTCCTGAGGTCCTGAAAAATTGGTGCCTTGATAAACAACGAGATGTCGAGCGTTTCTTTCGGGAGCTCCCAACTTTGGAGAACAAGCATGTGGCTTTCCATCTGCTGCAAACTTGTATGGGGTGGTCACAATTGAATTATCTAGGAAGGACCGCTCCACGACACTTCTTGACTAGCCTTCTGGAATGGTACGATCGACGGTACCGCGAAACTTTCGAGGACCTTCTTGGAGAAAGGTTTTCGGATGTTATGTGGTGGCAGGCTTCTCTTCCTGTGAAAGCTGGGGGGCTTGGTCTCTCCACTGAGGGCATTTCTTTGAAGGATCAAATCCTTGGAAGAGCTGATATTGCTTTTGTTGTTGCGTGTAAAGCATCCCGCAGAATTGTTGATGAATTGGTCCCACCTGTTCCGGAGCATTCAAAGATTGGGTGGTCGCCGGCAGTCCAGCGCTTGGAGACTCTTTTTCCCCAATGGAGAGATGATATGCGCGACCCCGATTCTAGGCTCAAACAGAAGGAAATGTTTGCCGTTGCTATTGAATCATCTCGAGCGATGTTGGAGGGCGCCCTTTCTGATGCTCAACGTAGGGTTTTGCTTGCATTCTCGGCACCTTGGGCCGAGGGGTGGGTTCGAGTTAGTCCTAATCATGCCTTTGATACTTGCTTGTCTAATGCTGCATTCATCGATATTGTTTCCATGCGGCTTGGGAAAGCGGTTTTTCAGGTTGAGATGGATTGTCCACGTTGCCCACAGAGTCAGGATATATTTGGACATCATACTTTGACGTGTCATATGGTAGGGGGCAAAACTCAACTCCACAATATGATTCGAGATGAGATCTATCGTACTCTCCATACTGGTGGCCTCCGGTGTAAATTGGAACCTGTAGGTCTTTTACCAGATTTGCCAGGGCAACGGGCCGCAGATGTGTTGACTCTTCCTACTGCTTTGTGTAGACAATCGACGTGGGGACTACTGCCGCGCTTGGCCTTGGATATCTCTGTTGTTTCCTCTTTCAAACAACAAGCCAGTGGGACCGAAACATTGGCGATGGCCAAAATGCAGGCTGAAAGGAAACGAAGGGATCGTCAGATGGCCATGAGATGCCAGGAACAAGGACTGGGATTTGAGCCTCTTGTGTTTGAGACTGCTGGTGGTCTTGATCCGGAGGGAGATCGTATCTTATCATCTTTGTGTCGAGCAGTGGATGATCATCGTCAGAAGCCGCATGGCGTGACGTGCCAAAACTTGAAGGAACGTCTTTCGTTCGTGCTCCAGAGACATGCCCACGTTTGTTTGCGGCGGATCCGGGATGGGGACGATAATCGAGAAAAAGCGGAGCGACATCATTCTTCTTCTCGCTTTGTGCAATATCACTTTGATGGATGCTTGGCGGCAATATCTTTTTCTCTGCAGGAAATGTTTTGATTGTGCTTGCAGGCCCCTCGCGCAGGTATTGAGATGAGCGTAGTCGTTTTGACGTCAAAGAACGTCTGATTTGAGGGTGTTTTGTCGTGTTCTTCTTTTCGTTGATTGAATTTCTGGATCTCACTTGGGTCGTCTTTTTTCTCTGTTTTCTGACGCGATTCTGTGCCCTTGGGTTTAATTGGAGGTGGCGGCGGGCCTTTAATACATTGCCTGGGGGCTTGGAGTCGCGTGATGTTTGCCGTGATACTTGACGACCTGATTGCCTCGCATTTCGATTGATAGCCTTCAATTGTATTCTAAGAATCTTTGAAGGCTCTGAATTGGTGCTTTTGGGCGTAGAAATCGCTTGCACTGGATTTACTTTAGCGTCCCACCCAAATAAGGGAGAGAAATATACTCTTATTGTACAAAAAGACCGCGTCAACAATCTCAGTTCTTGTGAGGGAAGCAAGATTTACTTTAGCGTGCCATTCAAGTAAGACTATAAAATGATGAATATACCGCTTCTTTTAGTGTCCCACCCAAGTAGGGTTTAAAAATCACCCTTCTCTTAGGATTGTGTCAAATATCTCAGCTCTTATGACGAAGCAAGATTATTTCTAACGTCCATTAGTTTTACCTATTACCTGTATGACCATTATGATCTTTCGCTCTGGAGACTACTTGCAATTGTGTCGCAGCACGAAAAACCGACAGGCCCCGCAATGCAGCCTTGGAGTTCTTACGAGTAGCACATCTTGAGCCCGGACTCCCAGCCATGCCAATCATCGTTGCCAAGGACAGCAGAACATCAATTTTGACAATACGAGTTTTTATCCTATTATTAATAATACTATAAGCAAAACTATATTATATATTATATTATATTATGACCAATCTTATCTGGCACTGAGAGCTATGAGGCCGATTCGGGGGACAAAGACCCAAACTCTTGGAGGGCTCTGCTTGACTCCATTGACAACGAGAGCTTGGACTCTTGCTGAGAAAGGCCTCATGTCACTGCGGGTATTGCCAAATCTCGCAACCCTAGTGCCACTAACCCAAGCCCTTAAACCATAAGCCGGAAAGACCTTCTCACCTACACGCTTGAAGTGTAGCCTCGGGTGTGCGAAAGGTCTAGGGCCTCCAAAAAGCTAACAAGCAACAATTAGGATATGGATATCCCATAGATGCTTTTGTCCTTTTTGGGTCGCTCTTCGGAGTCTTTGCTTGGGAGTCGCAGAGTTCATGGCTGGCTCCGAGGCACGGCTTTGCCGCCCTGGGCCATCTCCTGGTTAGAGTTTAGGGTTAAAGGTTTACTGTTTAGGGTTTAGGGTTTGGGGTTTGGGGTTTAGGGTTTGGGGTTTGGGGTGCCCCCTTTAAGAAATAGCTGTAAGACTCAGGGTACCCTTTTCCTGTCATTCAGTCTTGAAAGGGAACCCTAGTGGGTACTGCTAGGGGGCCCAGTCTCACTGAGAATATTCAAAATGAGACAAGTCCCTCTGCAGGAGGGAAGGGAGCGGGCACTGGAGGCAATGAGCACAAGACAATGTGGGCTACATGTAGAGAAATGGGGACAACTGCAACACATGCTTTGTCAGATTAGGATCCCTTCCGGACTGGGGCTTTAAAGACGTGGATGACTTTATGAGAACCATATCTGCCGTTGCTGCTTATGGCTTCAGCGCCTTCTTGTAAGCTCTTCGCTCAACAAGCGACAGGGCGTTTACACTATGAAGAACTTGCGAACGTCCTTCGGAAGAAAGCGCTCGCGTGACCAAAGGTTTGGAAGGTATACTTGTCCTCGTATGATGACAAGTTACTGCTGCATGGAGGAAGACCCTTACAACCAAGTGCCAACATATAGTCCAGCGAACTCGAAGAAGGACAAATTCATCTTCAAGCGCCGCACAGTCACATATGCTGGATTGCTCTGAACCAGGCATCACAGATCTCCTGTGCAACCCTCGCCGGGTCCGACATGTCTTTGTCGATGATCCGCACCAAATCGCCCTGAAGCACCAATGCATTTTGTGCCCGGCCTTCCTCATCTTTGGGACAGGGTGGAAATTCATGGCAGAGCTGAATTGGCAGAATTGCAAGCTTGTTCTGGTACGCGTACTGGAGCTCTATATAAGTTTCATACTGCGCACCAGTTTTCTCTCCATAATCCCAAGTGCAAAAAGCCAACAGGGCTTTGGCCCTGTACAGGAGAAGCGCCGTCTGGTTTCCGAATTTGGCACTAGCAAAGTCGGCCTTCACCATATCCACGGGAATGAACTTGTCACAAAGCGCTTCTTTGACCTCTCTCATGTAGTTCATTTTGTTCTGATCGTTGAACCGCCCAGAGATCATCAAGTTTCTTCGTTGCGGTGATTCAGGTGGAGCCGGTGGGGGAGGTGATACAGTCGGGATGTCCGTTTGATGCTCTTCATCTGGAGGCGGTGGAGGTGGTGGAGGAGGCGGTAACACCTGCCAAGGCAATAGCTGAGTGCAGACTCATGCGGTGTAGGGTTGTCGGGGATTTTGAGCCCTGTGTGACAGAGCTCGTAACTTAGCAGATTCAATGCTGAATTGCATCTCATTCATACGGAGGACCTCAACACAAAGTCTGAAACCTCCCGTTAAGCCCCAGTTGAATGCGCTGACGACTACAAACCACAGAAGAGCAGCCTCGAGCGTACCATTCAACCCACTCAAAAGCACACGCAGTAAGGAGAGCCCTGAACCCTAAACCCTAAACCCTAAACCCTAAACCCTAAACCCTAAACCCTAAACCCTACATCCTAAACCCTACATCCTAAACCCTAAACCGTAGCCCGTGCCTGCACCAGTAGGCTGCCGACCTCGGCACTGTCAGCACGAGCCTCAGCCACCGTTCGAAACCGATAAACTTGCGGTGGAGCCGGGGTTTTAAGGGGGACCCTAATAGAGTCATAATACTCTAAATAGTAGGATCCTTATTATAGGGATTTCAAAATAAGGAACTCTATTTTTTGGTTCAAGGGTTTAAGGGTCTTGGAGTTTACGGGTTCGAAGGTTGAGGGTCCAGGGTTTAGGGTTTCAGGGCTTTGGAGTTTGACAAATGGGTTCAAGGGTTTGGGCTTTAAGGTTTTTGGGGTTGAAGGGCAAGGGTTCAGGGTTTCGGGCTTGACGGCTTTGAAGTTTATGGGTTCAAGGGTAGAGGTTGAAAATTCAGGGTTCTGCAGCTTGAGGGCTCAAAGGTTTCGGACTCTGGAGTTTAAGGGTCAAGGATTCAAGGCCGAACGTTTCAGGTGTATCGCCTTTTCGCGCTGTGGTTGAGGGAACCAGGAAGGTTGAGGATTCATAGGTTTCCTGGAGCTATGGCTTAGGTTTCGGTTTCTGGATCAGACTTGTTGCAAAGTGTTTGCAGCCACGGTTGTGTCATGATCCCTCGGATGAAGTGTTCGGACAACTTTCACATGGGCATCTCGATGTTTGAGATCGTTCTCTGGTCTATACAGGGCCTGGTAGTTTTATAGGGGATATTACCTCCAAACCCCTGACCCGAACACCCTAAACTCTGTAGAAATCCATCTGCATTCCAAGAGCACTGAAGGCCAAACACGTTAAACCCTAAACGCCAAAACCCCCCAAAACAAAACACAAAACCCCTGAGCCCGTAAACCGCTAAACCCCTCCTAAACCCGCTTAGGGTTCCGAGACAAGTGGAAAAAAACACTAAGCCGCAAAGTGGCTCGCTGCATGAGCTGCTCAAGAGACAAGTGGCCAGCTTCCAGCTCACCTTCAGGGAGATGATTTGGGGGTGGAGGGGTTAGGGGGTTTCGGGGTTCAGGGTTTATGGAAATGATTTAGGGGTTCAGGGGTTAATCAGGGGTTTAGGGAAATGATTTAAGGCTTAGGGGTTTAGGGTTCAGGGGTTTAGGGTTTAGGGGCTTTGGGAGATGATTTAGGACTGAAGGTCCTTACGAAGAGCTTTTTCCAGTGTGCAGAAGTCTGCAAAACGATCTTTCAGGTTTTAGGGGTTCAGATTAAGGAGCAGCACGAGAAGGTCGCAAAACTACCTTTCAGGTTTAACAGGGTTCGGATTGAAGAGCATGATCATGTCCACTAGAGGCGTGCCTGTGCTCAGAAAGTTGTGAGGCGCCTCCGCCGTGTAGACCTCTCAGAGTCATGGTTTAGGGTTTATGGTTGAGGGTTTAGGGGTTTGGGGTTTACAAATCACAACCGCGACAGCAACCTTTTCCAATGTGGGCTCTGTAGGGTTGGCAACCTAGGGAGAAAGGCCGGAACCTTCAACACTACAGACGGTAAACCCCACTCCCCAAACAGTATACCATTAACCCTATAAGCCCCATAAACCCTGAAACCTAAACACCCTAGTGGCCCTATAGACCCTAGACCCCGATGTCTGCGGTGAGGCCAAGATCCAGCCTCCACTTCGCAAAGTTCAGGCAGAATCAGATGCCTGGGTTTGCGGGAGAAGGAACCGATCTCGATGTATGTGTGCATGTGCGAACGAATGAATAACTGCACGAATTGAATAATTGACTGAATGAATCACTGAATGAATAAACTGGCTAGTGGGGTTTGGGTATTGTGTATATACACATAAATAGATAGATGGATAGATAGACAGACAGACAGACAGACGGCTATGTAGATAGATAGATGGACAGATAGATTGATAGAGAGAGATATATACATATATAAATACGTAGATGGATAGACTGATAGATAGATAGGGCTGTCGGAACAGTAGGTGGAAGGAGCACCGACTCAAAGTGTAAGTAACTGGGCTCCTAGGGTTCTCTGTGTGTGAAGCGGCTGCGACAAGCTGGCGTCTGCCGAAAAGGTGCACGGAACAGTGCGAGCTGGGGGCGCGCAACTATTTTTTAAGGGTTTAGGGGCTCAGGGTTTAAGGGTTTAGGGACTGACTAAGGACAGCTAGGTGTTCATACAAACCAGGGACGAACAATCGCCGATGATTGAACATGTTTAAGATCGATTCGAAGTCTGCTCGAGGGGCATGCTGGAAGAAGTCCCATCTTCTGGTCCATGCAGCGATGGTGGCGGCGGAGGTATCCCACCCCCCGCCTGTGGCGGTGGTGGCGGCAGTGGTGCGGGTGGAGGCAGGCTCGATGGCGCGGTCGGGGCAGCATCACAGAGTCCTCGGCACAGCGACGGAAGATATACTAATTTAGTACATTTCCCGAAGTGATTATGCTCTGCTCGGAAAGAATCTAGACTTCTGCTGCTTCTCGTCAAGAGGCGAAAAGCATGGGACGAGTCAGCAATGTCCACCTCGAACTGGGTTCCCCGAGCTTCGAAGAAGCGGCTGGTGACGAGAGGAAGCCTGTGGAAACTTAAGGTAATATGCTGATGATCATTCTCAGCCTGGGCTATGGTGAGTCTGTCTCCATGGCTGTATAAGCCCGCGCAAAAAGGCGGCCCGCACTCATCGAAACCCCTCAAGACCTCGGGGTCTACGCGGTAGTCGGATGTCGGCTGCAGCTGCTGGGTACAAGAGGGACAGTTTGTGTGCAAAACTGCACATTTTCCCCTCCCTGTGGTTTCATCCATGAAGCCACGGACAAGCATTCCCCGCGGTCTTGGGGAGCAGGTACCATCAGTTCCGACAAAGAGCTCGCAAAAATGATCCAGCCACAGCACGGCATGTCCTGGATAGAACTTCGCATCCGCAAGCGATTCCCAACCGCCATCCGACGATGAACGCCAGACCGCCTGAGCACCCGAGCAGACGCGGATGACCAGAAGTACAGGCGCCTCGTCAAAGCGAGTCTCGTGCGGCAGTAGCTTCAGGATGGGACTCAAAGGACATACGTTTGCCGGCAATCTCGGGCATTCTTCCAAGCCCGTAATCTCGAACCTGGCACGCGAATGCCTTCTTGAGATCATCACCACTCCGTGCCGAAGCTGTGCGAAGTCACACTGGCCCAGACTGACAGCCAACCCATCCACCTCGAGCTTATTGCAAGGAGTTCGCATACATTCCTGATTTAGGGGCTATAGGGCTTCCTTGTCACACATACTCTCATTCGGAAGCACACGCCCCACGACGGCAAAGATTCCATAAGCTTATACGGTACACAGAGGGTCCTCTGAGCAAGACATCTATTATAGGGGTCGGACCTCCGTTTGAGGCGCCTGTGTCGAAGATCTGAGCGGCTGAGAAGTGTCCCTATGCACTATCTTCTTTCGGAGTCGAAGAGACAAGCACGAAGGGCAAGGTATCAACAGGCTGCAGCAGCAAATCCCGAACAAGTGGCAGTCTTTGCATCTGAGCCTCGACAACATGGAATCCTTCGAACAACTTAAACTACGTGCATCCTACACATATGTCAGTCCACAGAAGTCCCGACCGAACACGTGCCATCGTATGATGCTGAGCCCGAAGCTCACAACATCTACTTCATTAACCGATTAGAACAGTGTTTGGGCTATGCTATAGTACAGTTACAATAGGGGCTACACAGAGATACTCTTGGTAATCCGTAAACCCCAAAGCCTACAGCCTGAGCCTTGCATGTTGCATCGAAGGTGTTTCAGGGGCTACAGGGATGCCGAAGGCCCCAAGCCGACCTTGTCGTATGTGACTGCTGTTTCCGTGGCGGTCTTCGCACCTTGCGAACCCGAAGCACCACGACCTGGCTGTAAGTTTCAGGGTTTGGGTTTAGGGTCTTGGGGTTTAGGGTTGAAGGGTCTGAAGTGTATCAGGTTGAGGGTTAGAAGGATTTGAGAGCTTCCGGGAATATGGTGATTGCTGGTGCATAGATGCTGTGCGGATCTTGCTGGAAGCTGTGTGTACATGGCTCGAGTCTACCTGAAACCGCTGGCGTCTGCCTCATGATTCCGAACATGCGCTACCTTTGTCGCACTGAGACTTCCGGTTCCTGTAAAAGCCGAGCTTGATCTAAATACACGTAAGCTTCCAGCGGTCGGCAGGTGTCACGAAGAGGAGGGAGTAGGAGGTTCCATGTATGGTTCGGGTACACGGTTGTGGTAGAAAGTTCGAGTCTGGGAAAAACTAGTATTCGAGACATGGCTTACTGGTGAGGGCATCCCCTTACATATCCTTACTGAAGTCTCCTTCTGATATTCAAACAAAGGCGCCTGAATAATTGGCAGTCGCATTCCCTTGTGGCTCGCACTAGATTACCAGTTATGGAACACCGAAACTCAAGCCCCAGCCAATTACGCCGGGCCCGTAAAAAGTGTTATATCTTATGTCAAGCCAGCCTAGCTCAACCTCGGGCCTTCTCGTCGTGCTTGGATGCTCTCACAGCGTTCCAGTACACTCTTCTCCATCGCATCCTCGCCCAAGTCTCCATAAGCCGATCCGAGTTCCTTCAGAAATGGCACCAGCTTCAGATGCTCTGGGCCGTGATCGTTCTCCACCATCTTCAAGCCCCGCTCCAAAACTTGGACCTTCCTGCCAAACTCCCCAACATGGCCATGTCCCAGTCCCAAACTGAACAGTGTGGCTGCCAAGTCGGGCCTTGCGGAATCATCTTGGAGCGCACGCTGCTCCTGTATGTTCCTGCAAAGCTCAAGCAGGTTGACCTCTTTGCGGTGGTCGCCCAGCTTGCAAAGCGCAAATGCAAGCTTCAGAAGTGTCGCTGCAGTCTCTGCTGGCTGAACATCAACCTCGTGTTCCTGGATCTCAAGGCACCTCCCTAGGACTTTGGCCATCTCTGCGAACTCCTGCAACTCTTCAAGGACGTTGCCAAGCTGCCGAAGAGTAGACGCTACTGTCGGGTCATTGATTCCAAGGTGCTGCTCCCGACGTCGCAGTATGCGCTCTAGCTGCTTCTTCCGTTCGACAGAACCATCCGCCTCAACAGGTCTGCTTACAACTTTGCGACTGTATGTGACCTGATACGCCCATGTACATACATATGTACAATTATATATGTATATGTACAATATTAAAAGATATATATATATATATATGTACGTACGTATGTATGTATACGTACGTACCTAGTTGTGCTTACAAACTTTGTTACAAAATCCGTCCATCGATCCATCCATCCATGCATGCATCATTTAACTTGTGCAAATATGTTTTGTAGATGTGGCCTCTGCACTTGGTACCTGCGATGTTTGCCAATTCTAACATGGCTGGATTTTTGGTAAGAACATTTATTGAAATCATGCACACACAGGTACAGTATAGTAGCGGAGAGCATGTTCCTTCTCGCATACGCTTACACCAATGTCAATGTCGAGAGGCCTCCCGCACCGCAACGAGGAACACTTCGGCATGCATCCGCAAACCTGACTGGATCACTCAGGTCGTACGTAACCGTTCCTTCAAACCTCGCAGCCTCACAACCTCCCACACTTGAAGATTTAGGGATGATCGGATGTGGGATGTTGTCATGGAAAGATCGCAGGCGTGTCAGTCATCTGTGTCCTGCATGGACCCGAAAACTCATGAGACCTTCATGCATGGAAGAAGGATTTCTTTGGCTCGCCCTGTGGCGCCAGGGCTGAAGATTTGTGTGTTGTGATTAAGCATGCTGCAGTATGCCCTGGATACCTGAAGTGTGACCGAAAGCCTGTTGCACAACAGCAGCTTGCAGTCTACCTGGTCACGAGTTATAGCATACTGCAGTGCCATCTACGTGCCCCTCAGAGTTTGGCACTCGGCCTGCATCTCGCAAGCTGACATTCTCGTCTAGCACCTGTGCAGGACAGTGCAGCCAGATTGACCGGAGGGCATTCACAGTGTAACTCGGTCGCGAAACCCATTCCTATCCCATCGGTTTTCGTTCCCTCAACATGCAGGAACATACATGAGACCAGTGCAAAGCATGAGGCCTGCGTAGCAATCAAAACCACAGCACCGTAGATTCAATCTCAAATGTGTTCTGCATCAGGAGCAATTAAAAATCAAAAGCAAACGATAAAAGGTGCTTGGCTGCTCGGCTTCAGCCGTCTAGTGACGTTATTGGCGCTACACCGGGGTGACAGGTGAACCACGCATGCTGCGAGCATGTCTCTGATGTTGAGCATGAGCGATTTTGCTTGGGGCCGCCTGTGGAAATTGGATGGGTCAACAGTTTGACCTTGCCAGCCTACGCTCTACTACATTCAGGACGCATCAAAGCATTGCGATTGAGAATTACTTATGGCAATGCGCGTGACCTCACAGCACAATAAAACAAACAGTGAAACTAATAACAATAAAATAGTAACATGACGGCTGATAATAGTTTTGCTGATAATGAGAACACAGCTGTTCCAAGATCAGTTCAAACTTCAACCCGAACCCTCAACCCACATCTGCTCCCACCTTCCAGAATCTCCGCGGTGTAGGGTCTAGGGTTTCCGCATCACAAAACTTCCCAAAGCCCACGCTTTCGCATCCATGATGCCTTCGACTTGAGTAGAAGATGCCCGTCCTCCCGACCTCTGCGCAGCTCCGCAAGCCGACAGAAGCTTGGCTTTTGCCATTGGGGGTTTGGAGAACCGACATCAAGCACAATGCAACCAGAATAAAGTTCCTAGAACATTCCTGGAGCGTCTTGCAAAGCTTTGCCAATCAGGCCTGCCAAATTGTCACTTGGAACCCCACCAGCTGCTTCCAGTACGTTCGCCAACAGTTTGGAGACCAACTCGGAATCGGATACCCTCACCTCATTGACACGCATGCGTATACAATGCACAAGCGACCTCACCGAAAAAACAGTTTCAAGCTAGATGGTCACAGCAATGCTTCCTCGAACATGCCAGTCACATGCCACGCAGTGACAAGCTTACCTTAACTCTTGGACCCCCTCCGATGCTCAGGGCACATCGCCATGCTAAGCGAAGTTGTCTGGCCAGTTTACATCAGTTTTGCTGTTTTACTCCAGCAGTGGACCTCACAAATCTCCTCGCCGCTTCCGCTCTGGCGGACTCTGATGTTGCAGAGGCATGTGGATCGGAGGCCTCGCAATCAGTTCGGAGAGCCGTACGTTGAGGACAAGATATAGCTCATGCAAACCGAAATACTCGGTAATTGAGTAAGCTGAGGTCTACAAGCGTGTGGCTTTAAGCGCTTACATATCTATGGAGGAAAGCACGAAAGGCCTGCCCGCAGCCTATATGTAACACAGGCTCGCTGATTTTCTAAATGACCAACCTTGTGGGTCCAGGCATAGCTGCGTGGCTTCGTTCAGCCGCTTCTGACTTCGGAGGAGACCCGCCAGCTCCTCCAGCACTTGCTGGGTGCGTGGGTGCCGCCAACCCAGCTCATCTCGACCTGGGTTCATCCTACAGTGGAGGACACAAGTACACCATGACCCCAATCTTGCCAACCCTCTCGGAAGAAGGACTAGAATGGCACAGTCGCGATTCTGAGCATCCAGCGACTGTGAAATGTTTCCAGCAGCTGCTGCTCGTGTTCGTCTCCTTGGACAGAGCCCACGGGTAGGAGGCAGCACAACACCCATCAAGCAAAGTCTTTCACAGAAGGATCCGTCGCTTCATCACACGGAGGTCTGAGTCGGTTTGAATGTCGATTCCGAGTGCCCTGCGAATCTGCAAACTCTGCACCTGCCTCTGATCGTGGCCTGGGAAGGAAAGTGGGCGAGGGCTCCGCAGGCAACAGAACCTCCATCAACAAACTTCCTCACACAAGGGAGATTGATTTCACGAATCAACTGACTCCGAGGACAACGTGGTTTTGCAGACGTACACAAGATTTGGTCATCTCACACGGTACTTTGTATGATCTGTGGTCGGCCGACGTCTAAAATTTTGTTCATGCCCCAGCCTGGGCTGAGGACAGTGGCATGACTACTTTGCAGTCGTTTCAGCAGATGATAAGTTTTTGGACCACGGCGTGATAGACAATTGGAAATGAAAAGCTCATGAGGCCCAGGCTCTTGCCGCTCCGAGCACCTGGCCTGTGTCCCGCCTCAGTTCTTCGCCGTCCCCCAGTTTGGCATGGCCTCGGACCACGGCCAGCAGCACGATCGAGCAAACAAAACTTCAGCAATTCTGACTACCCCAATAAGCCACAGAAGTGAAAGGTTAAACGTTCCGATTCCTACTAAACTACAAGAACTTGGCCTTGGGTATTGGGGATCTAAGAATTGCAATAAACATCAGGCCGGCCACTCGAGGCTGGCTCAGTACGGTTTGCTCAGAGCCGGTCCACTGCATTCATGCAGTCCGGAAGGTTAAATGTCCAACAGGTGTACCATTTCGTGCAAGATCCCTGAGTCCGCAAAGCCCTTCACCAGAGCTTAACCCCAGAAGCGTTCGAATTAAAGGTCGCTGACCTCGAGCAGCACTGGTGGAACTTTGCTTCGTCTGAAAGAGACATTTTCGATTATTTTCCGGCACAAAAGAAATCGCATCCGACCGAGGGCCCAACGCCTTTGCGCGGTGTACACCTCTCGAAGAAGCGCCAACAAGCAGTCTCTGGTGCTGACCGTGTCGGGGTGGGAAGCACCCATTTTCGTCCGGCCTTGGAACGAAACGAATCATCCACTAGACAAGACGCGTTTCTGAAGATGCATGGCATAGCCCTGCCGTGATAACAGCAAAGCTTTGATAGGAGGGAAACAGAAGCAGTGTTCCCACAATCGCACCAACCCGATCGGAAACTGCCACCGTGTGTGTGTGTGTGTAGTACATGTGCATTTGTCCCGATTGTCACAGCCAAAGTAACCAACCGTTTCAGAATCTTGTCGCATTGACGACGTGAAGACGGAATATACGACTTTGCCTCGAATGGCCCGTCTCCGGGCCAAGCTGCTCTTCCCAGCTCGCGATCAAAACATGTTCAAAACACAGGCCCACGTAAGATTTTTCATGTCAAAAATTGCTGTGTGTATTCTGTTAGCACATCTCAGTTCGCACCCGAAGCATCTCGCTTAGATTCTGAGTTTTTCGCGAAATTCAAGGGTGACCCTGTGCAGGCACCGAGCGCTCTGAAGTCAGCCACATTGGTTTGGACACTGGCATTTCAACAACCAACGGGTCGTGTCTGGCAGGCTCGGAAAGCGGGCCTACTGGCTGGAGGAGTTTCGTGACGTAACGCAACGCAAAGTAAAGCATCGTAAACCTGCAACACCACCGCCTGCGATACTGCATAATTTGCCTGAACAGCTGCGTCGTTCATTGTTTTTTACACTCCAGGGCCTGATGGGTCTGATGACACAGCAGCTCTGAGTGCCACGCGCTGTTCCCACACCTCCCGGAACAGAAGCTCCGCTTCATCCAGCTGGCCACGCACCTGGAGGTGCATGGCCAAGCTGTGCATGGAGCTCAGGGTGTCCGGGTGGGAGTTGCCCATGTCGTTGCTGCCTCGGACTGGTTGATACAGGATGATACAGGTCTGGTCTCCCCCAGACTGCTACAACCCCCAACCAAATTGCGGGCTGGGTCGAGGCGGGTCCGTGTAGCAGTTCAATTACTCCAACACACTCGATCCCTGGCATCTGCAATATCATGCCAGCATTGCATATGTCTTTGACGAGTCTGCAGCTCAGATGTCCAACCCCCACGCCTTTATTAGTAGGAATATTGTATCTCCTTTAAGAACCCTTAAAAATACAATTAAATTTCCTGCATTTTAAGGGGCTCTTTGATGCATTACTATTATTCACATGTCTTCCTATTCTTTGGGGAGTTTTGGAGAGGATTGTATGATTAATAATTCCAGAAACCAGAATGCTTTTTATTAAAATTAATGCGACCGCTCTTTCTCTCGCTCAATCGCTCATTCACTTCGCTATCTTATTCTACAGCATTTATTTATAATATTATCGCTCCTTAAAGAGCACCTTTAATAATAATAATAATAAGACTAATTTTATAATATTATCCGCCGAGGCCTCGGGCCGAGGTGTATAGGTTGTCAGAACAGGCACCCCCCTCCAAATCCTCCCCCCACACCCAAAGCCCTTTTTCGGGCCTCAAATGGGTACCCCCCCTGGGAAACCGGGGTCCGCAAGCGGACGGTTCGCCAGAACCAGAGGCAGTTGAAGCCCCTCCTAGCAGG